GATGAAGAGATTGACCCTGACAAGATCTCTCCCTGGTTGCTTCGAATAGAATTAAATCGAGAAATGATGGTCGATAAGAAGCTCAGCATGGCAGATATAGCAGAAAAGATTAATCTTGAATTCGATGACGATCTCACATGCATATTTAATGATGATAATGCTGAGAAACTGATCCTCCGTATTCGTATTATGAATGATGAAGCTCCTAAGGGTGAGCTGCAGGATGAATCAGCCGAGGATGATGTGTTCCTCAAAAAGATTGAAAGTAACATGTTGACAGAAATGGCCCTTCGAGGCATTCCAGATATCAATAAAGTGTTCATAAAAAACAGCAAACTGAATAAGTTCGACGAAACCGAAGGATTTAAGGCAGAGAATGAGTGGATGTTGGATACAGAAGGTGTTAATCTTTTGGCTGTCACATGTCATGAGGATGTTGATGCGACGAGGACCACAAGTAATCACTTAATTGAAGTTATCGAAGTTCTCGGAATTGAAGCAGTCCGTAAAGCCTTGTTGGATGAGCTGCGCGTTGTCATATCTTTTGACGGATCTTATGTAAATTACAGGCATTTGGCTATATTGTGTGATACCATGACATATCGTGGTCACTTGATGGCCATCACTCGTCACGGGATTAATCGCAATGATACTGGGCCCATGATGAGATGCTCATTTGAAGAAACCGTGGACATTCTTCTGGATGCTGCTGTCTTTGCTGAAACAGATTACCTGAGGGGTGTCACTGAAAATATAATGTTGGGTCAGCTTGCACCGATTGGCACAGGAGACTGCGCCTTGTTGCTGAATGAGGAGATGTTAAAACAAGCCATTGAGATCCCTCTGCCGAGCTATATGGAAGGGGGCATGGATTTTGGCATGACTCCTGCCCGTTCACCCCATTCTGGAACACCATATCACGATGGCATGATGTCTCCAAGTTATCTGCTAAGTCCAAGTCTGCGGTTATCTCCTGTTACAGATGCTCAATTTTCTCCTTATGCCGGTGGAATGGCTTTTTCTCCGACATCGTCTCCAGGCTACAGCCCATCATCCCCTGGATACAGTCCATCATCTCCTGGATATAGCCCCACTTCTCCTGGATATAGCCCTACTTCCCCTGGTTATAGTCCCACTTCCCCAACCTATAGTCCTAGTTCTCCTGGATATAGCCCAACAAGTCCTGCGTATTCTCCTACCAGTCCATCGTATTCACCAACTTCTCCTAGTTATAGCCCTACCTCACCTAGTTACAGCCCAACGTCACCAAGCTACAGCCCGACGTCCCCTAGCTACAGCCCGACATCTCCAGCGTACAGCCCGACTTCTCCAGCTTACAGCCCGACGTCTCCAGCCTACAGCCCGACTTCTCCCTCATACAGCCCTACGTCTCCATCTTACAGCCCAACCTCGCCTTCCTATAGCCCCACCTCGCCATCGTACAGTCCAACTTCTCCATCATACAGCCCCACCTCACCTGTGTATAGCCCAACCTCTCCTGGTTATAGCCCTACCTCCCCGAGCTACAGCCCTACCTCTCCAAGTTACAGTCCTACGTCCCCGAGTTACAATCCCTCAGCAAGATACAGCCCTTCCCTAGCATATTCACCTACTAGTCCTAAGATAACACCATCTAGTCCATATAGTCCCTCCTCTCCGAGTTACAGGTAAATTTGGTAAAGCATTTTGTAATTCTTGCTGTTCATTTTTGGCTGAATTGTCTTCATTTTAATAACTATGTGAAGCAACAGAATACTAGCTAAACGCGCGAGTCATTGACGTTATCCCAGATGGTTCATCATAAGTAGTTGGTTATATCATTATCGTTCTTTGTTGTGTCACTAAGGAATCTAGATTAATTCAAAATATTGCATCGCTTCTGTAATGTGACTCGAGAATGACATGGTTGAGTTTTTATCCTCCATTGCAGCCCAACATCGCCTTCGTACTCTCCGACATCTCCGACATATTCTCCTTCTAGTCCAACATATAGTCCAAGCAGGTGAATTGATTATTATTACACTTTCATTTATGGATTCTTGAAAGAAGAAACGTGATGGGATATAGTGCTTTCATTTAATCTGTAAATTTTATGTTATTATTTGACTTTTCAGCCCGTATAACTCCGGTGCTAGTCCCGACTATACTCCTAGTTCTCCACCATACAGGTGAGTGGCAGTACTGTGTTAGCTGGTGGAATTTATCCCAAAATCAATCATTGGTATTTTAGCTATACTTGTTTGGTTCTAAGCTGTTCATTTTTTGTTATGTCTTCAGTCCAAGTGGAGGGTACTCACCTAGTGCACCTGGGTATTCCCCTTCCTCAACAAGCCAATACACTCCCCGTGTTAGTGAGAAAGATGACAAAAGTGTTCAGAATGATAAGAGCAGCCGCTGAACTTCATCATGTACCATTGACCGAGATGGAGAACCAAAGCTCCTAATCTTGAAATCCTGACCTTTCTGCAGTGTTTTCGAAAGATGTCAGCTAATTACTGATAGTTGCCTTGTAGATCACTTTTATGATTCCTTCTGACTGATTTGATATCATGTACTTATTTTGATGTGGTTGCACATTCTAAATTTGGTATTGGTATATTTAATTATGGACATGGTTGTGCTCGAAATTGAATAATTTGGTTATCGTTGCCACTTGTAATCATAATAAATATGTAAATGGAAAAACTGAAAGAGTTCACATGGATATGAAAATGGAAGTTAGGCTGTCAAAAAGGTGGTACTCTTTCAGAACGAGTGTGCTTACGATATGAGTTAACTGGGTGGTGTTTTCGGTTTGATTCACTCTCCTTTAGTCTGATTATTCGAGTTTGTTTTCTTTGTTTAGTTTGAAGCTCATTAATCTTGTGAATCATATGATTCTGTAAAAGAACATGTAACGTATCGACAGGGTGGACTGCCTAAATTCTCAATGTATTGTAGTTTTATAATAATGTTATTGTTAATTTTTTTAAACCTCAATATGGAATTTTGTATTATGCCTCCTAATTGGTAATGGCAGTTGAAACAGAGAGTATAGGATGGGATTGTCCACCACCTGCAAAAGTATTGGCATCCATGATTATTTGCACGATTTTTCTACGTTCTTCGGGCGCTGAACTTGTGTGATTATGCTGCTGCTCTCGGATCTGTATAGAATTTTAGTTGTATTCCATTGCTTCTTTTGAACTCAGTTTCGGCGCTATAATGACATTTTGATACTTCAAAGTACATCTCTCTGGTTTTACTGCTCTATCAAGAAATGAAGCAGAAGTTGAAATCCAATCAGCCAAACTTGGCCAAGGAGTTACGTGCAATGTTGACATCGTTTGTGTCCATTCCCATTGCCATGATCACCAGTGGTGGATCCGGCATGCGTGGCAATTTTTTTTTTTTTTTCCACAGTAGATAATATTTTTAGATTATATATTCAGTTTTAGTGGTTTTAATGGAATTGCAAGGATTCGAACTTGTGCTCTTCCTCTGAATTATACAAAATCTGGCCACATGTCATTTGCTGAATATTTTTAACATTAATAACAGAACTATGTCTTTAGTTTAAGCAAAATAATAATTATATTTAATTTTTAATATTTTATTATGACTGACAGTCAAAGGTCAACGGTCGTTTGTACTCGATCAAAATTTTGGATCTACAACTGATGATTACTATCGTTCGATTGAGCTTCTTGTTGTGGCAACACCCAATGCTATAACTTCTTGTTTACAAGACAACCACGGTGCTTCATGTCTAATGGTCATGTAATCTATCTCCACGAACTACGAGGCACTAACAATTTTTAAGTCTTGTGTAGTTTATGATGATGGCCTTAGCGAACATGTTCACTTAGAATCCACACAATTAAGATGACATGCATGTCAATAATATGAATTGAAGATCAGCACAACACTAGTTGCTACTATGTTCAGCTTATGAGTATTCAACTTATAATCCAACTAATACATTTTGTAAGTATGTTATAGAGCCGGCTCGAGCGGAAGGTTACTGAGGCTGTTGCTACGGGTCCCGTCTTTTTTTTTACACTAATTGTGAAGTTCTTGATGATTTCTTTTGTAAAAAATGAACTCAATATATTTACATGTATAATCATTTTCGTTAAGTAAAATAATAAGAATTATTAAAAATAGAATATTTGCTGTAGAAAATTTTACCAGTAGTTAAATAAGTATAAAAAAAATTAAAGATTATGAATTTTCTGTTAGTAATGTTGAGAAAGTAAACATTTCAATAAATTTAATGCTGATGGAGATTTCGTCAATAAATACTCCAACTAAAGTTAACTTTTGATAAAAGTTTTTGATGAAAAATTATATGAAAGTTACAAATTTTAATATTAAGGAAAAAAGAATAAATATTTCTTTATCAGTGATCGGGTGTCAAAGCTGTTAAGGGAATAAATTCCACATCGGTTAAATACCGAAATATTGACTAACTTATATAGATCTTGGGTCACTCCTCTTAATAAGGTTGACCTTATTAAGATGGACCCCAAATCTTAACATGATATTAAAGCTCAGTAAGCTTCAACGAACTATTCGATCTGATTAAGTTTCAAAAATGAGCACACGAATTTCAAGATTGGTTTGCTCAAAAAGAGCTACCATCTTGCGGGGCATGTTAAGAGAATAAATCCCACATCGATTAAATACCGAAATATTGACCAATTTAAATAGATTTTGAGTCACTCCTCTTAATAAGGTTGACCTCATTAAGATGAACCCCAAATCTTAACAAAAACATTATAGGTGATTGCTAATTTGCTAAAGATATTATACGTCGGTAATCACAAAAAAAAATGTGTGTCAGTGATCACTAACAAATGTGCATTTTTGATCACTTATGTTATTATTATGGATAATTTCGTCCAAATCATCAACTGATATTGTTTTTCGTCAAGTATTATCTGTGATTTAGTCGGTGATTATTTTTATCTTTATATGATCATTGGTTGATATTGTATTTCACTAGGTGTTACCTGGGATTCTTTTGGAAATAACTTTTTCATTTATATTCTTTAAAAAGACCTCCTCAGAGATTTTACGTAAACCTCAAGTTGTTTGAGCCGTCTTACACATTGATATCATTCGTTTACGAAAGCTTACTTTTTCGACCAAGTAAAAAAAGTTAATTACTGTAAGAGTGTGTTTGATAGCACACTATTTTCCATGAAAAATGAAAAATCAATACTATTTTTCAATTTTTGTAGTGTTTGATAAGTGAAATTTTCCATGGAAAATGAATTCCATCTTTCTTGGCCACATCAGCATTTTCTACTGTAGTATTTTTTTTTTTTATTATTATTTGTTTTTGGGGCAATGAAAATAAATTCTAAGAATTATTATAAAAAAATATTTCCCTTCAACTAACAATTTTCATGTAAAACAAAGTCAAACGAATACCAAAAAATAGATAATTTTCTTCAATTTTTTTGTTGGAAATCGAAACAAATTTCATACCCAATATTAGTAAATTATATCCCTTTAATTGACAATTTTCATGTAAAACAAAATCAAACGAACATAAAAAATACTTTTATTCCAACATTTTTCTCGTGGAAAATTATATCAATTAAACACAATAATTTACAATTCCCAATAAAATAATTTTTAAACAATTAAATTTCCTAAAATTCGTTTTCAATTCCATCTTTGCAATCAAACGAACCCTAAATTAAATTTCACATTACTTTTCCAAAAACATAACTTGGTTAATTTTTTCTTTAACTAATTAAAACTTATTTGCTTCACAGTCAACTTTACATTAACCTTATGATACAACTAACACGTGGATTGGGAACTGGGGAAAAGCAAATTGTCATGCTTGTTTAGGTGATATTATAATGAAGAAGGATAACGAGTCTCACGAAATATATAAATAATAATTGAATAATGGTTGTCAATGAGTGATTAAAAGAATGTTTTATTATAAAAAAAAAAATTATAATGAAATCCAAACAAGTAAAATTCCTTCTAATACAATATTTTGATGGAAAAAAAAATGCTTTTTGAGATTAATGAAACCAAACAAGTTCTAATGTTTTTATCGGTTCACTTTTAGGCCAAAAATTTAATATAATAAATATATCAAGATTGATTTACTCAACACCGATGTTCATCTTATGTTAAACACTGATGATGTATCATACAAATCCATTGGTGAATAATTTTATCGTGGGTCTCAACATTTTAATTAAATTTAAAATTAATCAATTAATTTATATGATAGGTCGTCCTTAACATAAGATGAGTACCAATGTTCATTATATCATTCTTGATAAATATATTTATTCAAGGTTTGTTTGCCTAATGAAATAGAAATAAAAAAGGTTTTTGGTAGCTTAACCTTCAAGTTTACATGGAAGAGCGACAGAGCTTAGGATACATCATTTTCCTGGTGCTAAATGGTATTGGCTGACATCAAATATTCTATATATAAATTTTTTAAGCAAGTAGAATTTCTATTACATCTTAGGTATTTTAATTCCATCTTGGGGATATTCTTTATACAAATATTTATGCTTTATAAGACTTAGTTAGTTGTTTATCTGTAGTACAGATGAAAGAAAAAGAACCAGAAAGATGAAAAGACGAACCAGAAAGAAGAGAGAGTTTCAGATCGAGAGAGAAGGAAGGAAACCAATTATGTCTGTTCAGAACTTCCTTCATTCCCGTCTCTTGTTTAAGTAGTGGGAAAAAGGCGTATTTACGGTTAAAATTTTGAAATATGCTGAAACTGCCAATTTGAAATGTTGAAACTGCCGTCTTCAATTTAACACCGAACGGTGTCGTCTCCAGCTTGGAGTTTCTGGTAATTTCGTTGAGACCTCTTCTTCTTCTTTCTCCAGGAGCTTCCTTCCACTAGCTGCTTATGACACTGCTATCTCTTCTTGTTCATTTCAGCATCTTGAGAGAAGGATTTAACGTATTGTGTGGCTGTATCTGTAATCTAAACAAATTGATCTTTCAGATTCTTTATCTGTTGTTGTCTTTTTATCCTTTTTTGTGGGTCCAAGTTCAGAGCTTTTGTTGAAATATGATAGATTGGAATGTTGGAGGTAGAAATTGCTCGGTTAATTTTCAGGTCATTTTTTAATTGAGCATATACACAGATGGACCATTTTCATCTGCTAAATGGTAGTACTTTTGCAGTTTTTCTAATCTCAAATCCTAAAACTGAAGCATAGGATTTTTTCTGTTGGAAAGAGCAAATGAAGAATCTTGGGTGCTGATAACAGTTAGATTTAGAAACTTATTCAGTCCTTAATTGAAAATTGATAACAGTTTAGATTTAGAAAGTGAACAGATCGTTTTGAATCCTACCTATTCCTGCATTAAGCTTTCAGATCCTTATGAACTCTTTTTCTAATTTATTTACCATATTTTCATCAGGTTGAGTGAGACTGAAATACCTATTTCACAACCGAGGTCAAAACAAAATCTTCTCTTGCAAAACATCTACATGTTGAATTTAATTTTAATCATGCTAAGAATCAAAAATTACAAAATCATATATTGATAAATCGAATTCATACCTGTGAAAGCTATCATTGATATGAATAATAGTTGTAATAGCGGCCAAAATCTTCCCTTCCTTACTCCTCACAAAATATCAGCTATCAATGAGGCAAGTTAATAAAACAACGTGGACATGAGAGGGGACCTAGCCTTTATATAGAAAATAATTGAGCTGTCCCATTACGACTAGAATTTTAATTATGGTTTATTTCCGGCCCACATACTTAAAATTATCACATCATATTAATTACAATCCGTAAAGTGTAAAATACCCAATTAATCATTT